AATGATTTCTGAAGGATCACGTGACACTGAAGACTGGAATAATTGCTGCTGAAAATCCAGCTTTGCCATTACAGGAATAAATTTAATTTATCAACATATCAACATAGAAAACAGTTATTATAAATTATGATAATATTTCACAATATCACGGTTTCTATTGTTTTTTGATCAAATAAATCCAGCCTTGGTGAACATAAAAGACTTCTTTAAAAAACTTAAAAAAAAAAATCATATCAATGACAAACTTTTGAACAGTATATATATACAGGAATGATTATCAGGATTCCCCACTCAAATAAAACAAGCTTACCCTCAGGTACTGCACACACCACTCCGGCCTCATTTCCATGGTTACAGTCACCAGAGACATACTTCCTGCTCCGGCACTTCAGCAGAGAATCTTCATTGCCATGGCAGCCAAGACGTTCAAAGTGAAAGAGACCAGAACCGGGTCCGAAATAGGAATGTCGAAGCGCAGTGCCGATTTCACTGTTGGGAGTTAGCAGGTAATTAATTGATAGCACATGCTGGGTGTTAATCAGAACAGAGCCTCTAACTGATAATGAATAAAGTTTGCAACTTATACCCAAGCCTCAGTTGTCTACAGACCACACTGGCATCTCGATCAGTCAGGTGGGTGTCACACACTGCTCCCCACCGGCCATTTAGATACACCTCAAGATGACCACTCTTATTAGATGAACCCCCCACCAACCGCACCTCACCTGGAGAACAGGTGCAGAATCAAACATATTCAGGGGTTTAGGAATGATAACGTGTAACAAAACTGTTCTTTGAACTGTTCAAGACAGATAACAAAAAAGCAAAAACAAAAATAATAATAATAATTTATAATATAAATAAATATAGATATGTATTATTTAAGTAATGCATTTAATTATAATTTTTTTCTTCTTCTTATCACACTCTCTCCATAATTTTTAACATTCTAACATTTTTATATGTTATGTTATGTTAGGGTTAGGGTTATTCTAAATAATTTATGGCCATAAGTTAATTTGAAAGGTAGCCTACATCTAGCACATATTCTCCAAATGTAGCTTATCTCTTCACATGGCACGTTGTATGACTAGTAATACACAACCTTTTATTCTTTGAGAAATCCCTTTTTTATAGTCTTGTGTTGCAGATGCAGTCTTCTTTCATTTCAGAGCAGACATCCTGAAATGAAATTAGGTTTTACCGCCATCTTCTTTCTCCTTGACTAGAGGACAACTTAAGTAAAAGTGGCACAACTTACCCCTGTCTCCCCCATTTACATTTACAGACTCTGTGAATTAGCTCTCTATAGTTAGTACAGAATGATCACATTAGAGACACTATGTGCCTTGCAAATTATCATCTTGCTGCCACACGTCATGCACACACAGACATGAATTTAAATACACACTCTAATTATTTGAGTCTGTTACCGTGTTTAATGTTATGCCATAGAAAGGAAAAGGAGGAGAGAGGCAGACAGAGATAATCACAGCTCACAGAGATAAGGCAAACAGATTTCAACACCTGCTCGGTACTGAACCACAGACACAGCCAGGTGATGACAGTCAGCACAAAGAGATCCAGAGTCTGAACAGACACTTTCCGAAAAGGGAGTAACAAATGTGCATGAGTGATGTGAGTCTGACTGATTATTAGACAACAAACGCATAGAGAGGAGAAGATGAATAGAAGACAATAAAAAGAGAGGACAGAGAGAATCCTCGACTGCTGTTAGCTCACTGACAGACACACTGTGGCTGTGTGCTGTGACTGCAGTAATAAACGTCACTCAGCTTCTGTACAACAACACCTACACTAATATAACAGTTATGACACAAATACTCACCAGGACACATTCACTTAATAAACACAAACACCACGGGGTCCAGGATTTAATATGGTATATTCTAACAGCCCATTTATATGTAAAGGCTCCTATTGTGTTGGTCCCTATTTAAAGTGTATAATATGTTTAAGAGTTTATAATGTGTAGCATGTCTTAGTTTAAAGCCTTTCTAGGAAGTTAAGATACAACTTAGCTTGTGCTTCGATCTATACAATGCATATTTTTTAGTCTTTCCGCTAAGATTATGTTTACATACTGTCTCTATACAAATAAACCAAAAAGTAAATAAATAAACCTATAAATAAATACATTTATTTAGGTTTTATTAGCTTAGGCATGATGATTAGGCATGTTTTGGTTATTACGGAGAATAATTTGTGAATATTAATAATGAAACTTTTTGAGAAATAGCCTACACTTTTGTCAAATGTACCATCCTGTGGGTGCATTTAATATGTCTATAAGATATTTAGTGAATAATTTAACTAATTATGACTTAGTCGGGTCACAGTTTATCTCTGAAGTCTAAATGGACCACAGGTTAGTCATGCTAGACTCTCCGTAATGATAACCGGCCTGCTCAACATTTTGAAGAAACAACCTAAAGCGACCTTTTTGCGCAGTAACACTTATCGATTTCAAGCATGTGTTGGATGGTTTGTAAATGGCTTTTTTTTTCACTTTGAACTCACTCCTCCACAAAACTCAAAGTAATACAAAAAAGCTCTTAAAATGAAAATGAAGCTTTTGTAAAATATGTCTAAATGTGAAACAAAGGCCAGTCAGGAGGGCTCACCCTGGTGGCAGTCGCAGTAGGCCCATCCGATGGCTCCTGACTTCTGTCTGAAAAAGCACCAGGGGTTGGATTCACAGTCAGGGTTTCTACATTGGTTGTGGTCGCCCAGTCCACGGTTGGGGTACTGCAGCATGTAGTCTGGAAAGTCTGTCCATTTTAGACAGGAAGAGCCAGAATCTGTCTGAGACACAGATCCATTGTAATAACCCAGCTCAGTGAAGCCCTCAGAGCAGGACAGAGGACCAAATGCAGTGAGTGCCTACCTGAAATCTGCAGCGTATTCAGGTACACAGCGCTTTGTCCTGCCTATGAAGACAAAATAAGCAGTCAATTCACTTCTTTCACTAACACAAATGTAATCAAAGTACCACAGACATGTAGTTTTTGGCCATGTACCATGGTATTCTTTGAAATACCTTGAAGAACCATTTAAATGCCATGGTAAATGAATGGGTAAGATTTGGTATTGGTATTTTGTTCCCTCTCGCCTACAGCCACTGATCGATTGGTGCCTTGTTGTTCCTTCACAATGAGGCAGGAAGTCACTTTCCAAAACCTTCACCCTCTCTGTTCCTCTCTGGTGGAATGAGCTGCTGACACCGTCACAACTTTCAAGAAGTTCTCTCTGAACTTTCTCTATTCTAGCTTGTTTCTTAATTTAGCATTGTAATGAACATGGCATTGAATATTGTTGGCTCTGTGACAAATTGCTTATGCTCCTCTATTGTATGGCGCTTTGGATAAAGTCGTCTGCTAAATGCTTAAATGTAAATGTTGTATGATACATATGAAAGTACCATGTTATTACAATCTGATACTATCACTGTACCATAGCAGTTTTTGTAAAGGTATGACAAATAAATAAAATAAATACTAATTTTATCTAGGCATGAACTATGACATAAAATGTCATGGTTTAATAGGATACAACCCTTATTTTTAGTTTATACCATTTGTTTTGTTTTAATCCCAGTAACCAGCTGCAGCCTTAGTCAGAGGTTTTCTCTCTGGAGATGGTTATCAAAGGTATCTGCTGCTTTACGACGAGGAAATGTCACATAAAGACACGAGTTAATAGTGTAGAGCAGCTTTGCTTTAACTGAGATCAAAGAACACTTTCATGACCATCAAGCCATTACGAGAATGCTACTGTGTGAGCTGGGCGTGATGAAGGGAACAAGCATCACGCTTTTCTCTCATCCTGACCACACTGCAAGCGTCTTGTCCCATCGTTCGCTTGTACTGTAGTCAGGATGAGAGTAAAGTGTGAAGCTCGTTCCGTTCAACAGGGATTAAATACAAATGAGATACATTACAAGACACTCAGATGTGTGTGTGTGTGTATGTTGTTTAGGCACAAGGACACACAGTATACTTTCAAACTAATTAACATTATTGAATGATTCTGATTACTAATCTACTTTTGCTTCCTTGCATCCGTTCGCTTGCATCAAATAATCAGGAAGATCCTTCTTCCAAATTATTCTAATCAAAACCATTAAATTAAACAGAAATATTGTGACTTTGGGCCACAGTGAGCAAATTAAATGATCTATTACAAGTCTCTTGTGAGAGAGCATTCTCTAATAAATTTTATGGGCTACAGGCTAGAAACACACCAGTGACGACAATGCAATTCCATGCTGTACTGTGGGCTGTTCAATTAATTTGTAAGCATTTAAACTATCATTTAATACAGCGATTCATAACTTAGTAGCAGTATTCTTATGCTATTCTGCCAGTCTGTCCTTTATTTTATTTCTGGTTATGTGACTAGAAAGGAAGAAAGTCCTGGGCTTTGTGCCCATTGTCCAAGTCCAAGCAAGAGACAGATGTTAAATCCATCCACCTAGACAGGAGAAGGATATTTAAATAGAAGTCACTTCATTCGGTGCTTTGAGGCATTTATAAAATGGAATGAAATTAGGTTTTAAAAAGTACTCAAAGGACACCCTCTTTAAGTCAATTAGAGGTTATTGAAAGCAAAACATATAATTTCAGATTTGTGGCAAGTAACAACAGTTTTACCAAAGGGAACCTTATCACCACAAATAAATGTTAGAAATCTCACAGTTTTGATTAAAAAAAAAAAAAAGCTCCTAAGAATTTATGGGTTTGCTATCAGATAGTGATGTGCAGGACCAGATAGAGGCCAATGTGCCCTAGTCTCTCTTTAGAAGCAGGTGATAAACCCTCAGGGAGAAAAAGTTAAGACCATCTCATACCCTGAGCATTATGGGCCAAAATGTTTGCAGAGGTAATGGCAGAAATGTATTTACACCTGCATGTGTACACAAATCTACACCCAGCGAACACGAAGCCTAACCCTGTCTTTCCTTGTGTAGATTGCTTTAGCACAGACTTATTAAGCTGAGACGAGTGCACTTAAAGACTGATGGACAAGATAAGCATATTAGAGCTGGAGTATCACTGAAACTCTGTTACACTCTCCTCTTCTGTCTACATTATTCCAAATTTAACTGTAAACAATGTAAAAAAAAAAAACTGAAAGAAACCTGACACAGTATCATTCTCTATCTTATTAAAAAGCATGTTTATCATCAGAGAACAGTATTGGTTTTCTAATGTGAGCCGTATTTAAACCTCCATCCATTATGATTGTCTTGATTTAAATCAGGCAGAAGACGATGCCATGAGTATCTAACAAAAAAATCTATCAAACAAAAAACCTGTTAAAAATCTAATAATTAATGATAATTATTTTCATTATAATATAGTATAATATAATATAATACAACTAAAATATACTAGAATACAACTAAAATATAATATAATGAAAGTTAATTATTCATGTTTTTTTTAAGATTAAGTGTTAGATGACAGCAAAGGTCATCTAAATGTAAAATCTATTTAAACAAATGAGAATGAGCAAAATAAGCACAACTAAATATGATTAAATATTAAAAGAACATATGAAATATATATTATATAGGATATATGTCCAATAAATAAAAAAGAAATCAGGCAATAACTGGTACTGGTATTTTGTTAATTTCTAAAAATGTGAAAGTGAAACTTTACAAAAATCAGCTCATAATCCTTTCATTATTATCATAAGTATGTGCAGCGCGTAGTCGATGAGAAAATACCATAGAGCAAAAACTAAGATCTGTGGAGAAGAGATTTGATCTTTGATGTTTCTTTTAATGGCTTTAGCATGATTGGTCTTCTTTACGCCATAAGATTTGATAATGACCGATTCAAAAATATGTTTAGGCATTATAAATAGTTTCCATTCTTGTACATTGGCAGGTTAATAGTTCAACAGTCCTAAATCTTTTCTTGCACACACTCATGTCTTGTCTCGTGGGAGCTCAGGTTCCACGCTGTATGTCGGTCTGGACATACAGTACAGCAATTTGCTGAAATAGCATTAGGGTAGAGTTCCAGTCATATTTTCCATGGTGTTACAGTTATAGATCACGATAAAGACCACCAACAAGACTCCTGGTGGAACCACAAGAGACTAAATATAAGAGGTTTAACAGCACAGACTGCTGGTCTGAGTAAAATAAGTCTACAGAAGAGGCAATCATAGAGGAATCTCACACTGCCCCAGCATGAACTGGGAGTAGGTTGACGGTTCTGTGGGAAGGTTGAGTATATTTCAGCATCCTGCCCTAAGGACGTCAGCGCACAAACCTGTCCAGGCTTGGAAGACAAGGAAAGCATCAAAGTTCACAGAATATGACTATGACACGTGCAATAAGCAAAAACAGTGGGGCGTTCAATCTCAAAGCTACTCCTCAAAGCCCATCAATGCCAGAGTTGTTTCACATCCATTCACTGTCATCAGTAAGTGTTTGTGCTTCACTCATATTACGAGCACATTGAATATTGGGTTTCGCTTCATAGCAATCTTGTCTGAGGAGAAATTGTTGCGGTTGAGTATTTCTTTAACTCTGCCGTAGGGAACCATCAACGAAAGTATCTCTTGACTGCCGAGTGGTTTGCATCAGTTAATGCTGTATTAGATATAGTGCCAAGCAGGAATGTGTTTTTTGGCATTGAAAGAGATGCTCTTTACAAGAACAAAATACTGTGATATTTCAGCCGCTACCAGTAATGAGTATGTGTCTGAATTAAGTGGCATAATTTAATTTCCCAAGAAAATTGTCACACACAAAGAGATGCCGGTATATTGCCAATTCTGATGAAAAAAAGGATTCCAGCTTGCACCTTTATTTAACCTTTAAGAATGAAGGGAACAAGCATCACGCTTTTCTCTCATCCTGACCACACTGCAAGCGTCTTGTCCCATCGTTCGCTTGTACTGTAGTCAGGATGAGAGTAAAGTGTGAAGCTCGTTCCGTTCAACAGGGATTAAATACAAATGAGATACATTACAAGACACTCAGAATTAAGTACACACACACACACACACACACACACACACACACACACACACACTAAAATCATGCACACATTAACTGTCTTTGTCCTAGGAAATGACACCCCCCTGTCATTCTTGTTTTTTTGTACAACAGATCTAAAGACCTTCAAGAAAAAAAAAACACTACATAAAACTGAAAACATGTTTTAATTTTTTTCTTTTAGATATTCTTGACAATATTACAAAGCCTTACTCTAATACCAAAACCCAAAATGACTGAAAGACAGATTTTTTAAGCTTTGTTTGTTTTTTTTTTTTTTGGTGAACTTATCCGGCACATGATACGTAATGCTTAAGTAGGTATATTTTCCCAAGTGAAGGTAGTTAGGGATTATTATGTTGTGTTTTATTATTTTCATTAATCTTTTGTTTATTTTATTAATATATGCCTGCTGAAACATCTTAAACCAGCCTGGTCTGTTGCCCAATTTTCAGCTTGTCAGGCTGCTACAGAACAGCTCAAGCTCATTTTAAACCAGCTAAAACCAGCAAAGCAACTTAAGCCTTTTTTTTTTTTTATCAAAAAGGGAATAAATAAAAACACATAAATAACTCAAGATATTATGGAAACAGATTCATAAGGGACGTAAATATGCATATGTACAGTTCTCATTGTCTCGTAATTATTTAGCTCAGTTACAGAGCTGAAATGTATTCGGGGCAAAGTAAACCTCGGCCACAAAAATGAACAAAGACTGCACAAGATAATGCCAATTGTAAAAATAACCACACTTTCAAGGCGTTAATGTCACACAGAGTAAGTGAAGGCGTCAAAGCGTCATAACATGCACGATCATAATTCATTCCCGTGTCGCCTTCCATTCTAACTACTCATTTAGAAGAAGAAAAATGTACAATGCCATTTTATAGCCCAGTACAGTGGGGGAAAACCACTGTCATCACAGTAGCTTTCCCCCCGCTGTCTTAACTCCTCTAAAACCCCCACGTCAGTCAGGAGTTCTTCGTTATTTTTCTTCAGGACAAATCACAGCCAGTTTGCCTTTTTGTTAACTCAGCTGACTAGGTATGCATAGGTCAATAAAGCAAAAAAAAAAACTGCCTTTACATACCTCGCCGTAGACAGTGATAGAGAAAAGAAGGACAGCAGCAACAGAGAGGATCCCGCTGATATCCATCCTGTCATTGACTATACACCCAGCACAACTGTCCCATCATCATCGCGGGCACACATTGTTTACAAATGTTTGCACGGAAGAAGAAACCTCGACAATGACGAGACAGAACAAAACAACATCATGTAAACTTCAAAAGTCCACCGACACGACTGACACTATGACTGAGCTTTGCGTTCAGTATATGAGATGACACTGAAAGAAGAGACGCCGCTCCAGCAGCCTTCAACACAGTACACGTTACAGCTGATTATAGGACATAAACATTTATGGATCACAGTGCGGAGTGGTTGGCCCCTTATGGCAAGCCGTTTTAACAATTATTCCTTTAAAGGGGTCATATGATGCGATTTCAATTTTTCCTTTCTCTTTGGAGTGTTACAAGCTCTTGGTGCATAAAGAAGATCTGTAAAGTTGCAAAGACTAAAGTCTCAAATCCAAAGAGATATTCTTTATAAAAGTTAAGAGTCAGCCACACCTACCTAAAACGGCTCGTTCTAACACACCCCCACATATCTACCTCACTATGTGGGAAGATTTGCATAACGCCACCCAGATGTTCACGCAAAGAAAGAAGGCGTAACTTTTATTCTCACTGTAGTATTGTTGCCGCTGCAGCCATGTCGTGAAGACGCTGTGTGCTTCATTGTGAAAGCGACACTACTTTGTTTGGTCTTCCAAAAGAGGACGATATCCGCTTCGTCATGCCTAGAGCTGATCTGTGCTGAGTCCAGCCCGGGGACGTCACATGTGGTTGCTGCTCATTCGTCGGATCCGCCGGGCGCGCTGTTGAGGAGAAACAATAATGTACAGTATGTGGAAAATAATGTTTTTTTTTACTTTAAACCGCAAAAACACATTTCATTACACCAAATACAAAAAATAATGTTCTTTTTAGCAGCATCATATGACCCCTTTAAGCGAACTAGCATCTGTTTTTGTTACTAATCCTTAGTTTTAATTGGAAATCCAATAGTGACTATCTTCTGCAATTTCACTAGTAACTATTGAGTTTTTTTTTTTACTAGTTTATAAAAAGCCAACAAAATGTTTATTTTGCGGACAAAGGTTAAATAAATAAATACAGTAAAGAAAAGAAAACCGCTTTACTGCCAATTTAATTAATTAATAGCATTGAAGGATTGGGCCAAACAACTTTGCCCAAAGTTTATAATTGGCATCATTCTTAATAGTAATCACCTATGACAAACATAAAGTTAAAACATGTTAGAATAGCACTAAAATTGAAAAAGAACGAAAATTCACCCTTCAAAATGCATGTTATAGATCTTATTGTGAGCTATTCATCTGTTCATTGTAATTCATCATGTTTCTTTTTGACCTCATCAAAATATCATAACTGGATCTTCCCGTGAAAACGACACGTCTCTCTGGTGGCATATGCAGGACTTCTCCAATCATTTACTCCGCTTAAACGTGGGGGAAGTCGTGGCCTAATGGTTAGAGTCGGACTCGTAACCCAAAGGTTGCAGGTTCGAGTCTCGTACCAGCAGGGATTGCAGGTTGGGGGAGTGAATGTACAGCGCTCTCTCCCACCTTCAATACCATGACTGAGGTACCCTTGAGCAAGGCACCGAACCCCCAACTGCAGCAAAAATGGCTGCCCACTGCTCCGGGTGTGTGTTCACGGTGTGTGTTCACTGCTGTGTGTGTGCACTTTGGATGGGATAAATGCAGAGCACTAATTCCGAGTATGGGTCACCATACTTGGCCACATGTCACGTCAAAATAAATAAATAAACCCCGCCAGCTCAGCTCATGCTCATCTGCTGCCTCCACTTTTGAGTGGAAAGCCCAAAATTCAATTAACAACTGATGAATAGAACCATGCCCTCGCCCTAGGTTTTTTTTTTCTTAAAATCTCATACACTTGGATGTAAGTTAAGATAGGAAAGAAAAGAGCTGTCACTACTTCAGTTTCATCACAACTTTCAAAGACTCTCAAACTACTTGTAGGCTTTTTCCCTTCCAAGAATTGCAGCCTTTAATAAGATTGTAATGAGAGAAAAAAAAAACAGTAAAAAAACGTATAACTAATTTATGAGGTGAATTCGTACAATGCGATTTGTACAGAAACATACAATTTTTAGGAAAAAGGTAAGCATTAAGTTCCACACCCAAACCCAACCGTCAGTAGGGCATAAGCAGACCGTACAAAAATGTACAAGTGATATTGTATGAATGCAAATGATTTAGCCACCAATTTGTCAAAACGCAAAATAGTTATGAATTGTCATGAGTGTGTATCATACAGGACCTATTTGAATTCAGAAATTTAAAACATATCCATCATATAAAAAAATCAAGTTATTATCTGCATGAAATGCTTTTTTGAATAGATTTTTTAATAACTCAACAGACCCTTGTACAGCACCCCCCAAAAATGTGCCTAAAGCTTAAAAATAGAAAACACAGATCTTTTGCGGTCACATAGCAAATATGAAACAGACAGACAAGTAATTATTTTCCATAACTCCTGAAAACTCCCTAACATAGGACAAAGGGCATGTGTTGATAAGGTGGATATTATTAACCACTTGGACAATCTTTTAAATGTCTTGGGTTTTATGAATATCATATGAAAAAGAGGCTCAGTATACAGGTGTGGTTAAGCTCACCTTGTCTTCCATTGTTCACCTGTGTACACAGACACTTGAATACACCTCATTCCACATTGTTCACCATTCATAGCTTCAATAGAAGTTAACAATACCTGAATCACATACTCATAATTTAATAAAAGATCAAAGTCTCCTTTTAACCTGAGCACAACTACACACGTTATTCATACGATAAACATAATTCTCCTATACTTAAATTCATTCATCTATAGGATCAGTTTATTTGTGTCCAGAATTGAGTTGGTCTACACGCATAAAGACAAATAACATGTTTTCTAATCTTGCTAAGAGATGGATTTGGCCTCTACATCATTCACAGATTACGTCATACATGAATGTAAGAATTTGTAGATTTGATTAAAACAACCATGTTTTATCAGGCATCAAGGAGCTATAAAAACAAGTGATAATAGTTTTATCTCTTATCTGATGCCCAGAGGAGTGGCTGCATTGTTTGGCATTCATCCACACTCTGTTCTGGGGTGTTAATCTGGTTTATATACATGCTCAAGGAACTGAAGACTGGAATGGCTTACTGTATATAACATCAAATGCCTAGTAAACATAACAGGTTGAGGTCAAATGTCATCACTGCCACCATAACGTATTTTAAATTAAATCTGAGAGGCATTGACATGGTAGCACCTTTTTGCATAGCTGTAGCTGTCTTTTCCTAAAGTATTTTTAGCTGTTCATTGTTACTTCATTTATTTTTGAAGTTTGTGCTGTTGACAACTGTGCAAATTTGCAATGTCGTGACTGAGCAAAGTTTAGACTTACAGCAGACGGCATTTCCTTTGGGGTCTAAACACATTACGCTGCAGACAATTGTAGATAATCAGCCTAAGGAAATGGTGGACAGTGTTATCACAGGATGGCTATGGTTAAATTGCATTAAGAAAACTAAACCAATTCATGGTCACAAAGTTTATCAATGTTTCAAATCAAACAAAACATAAATAACATCGGAACAGAAAGTGCATTATTTGTAAGTTAATATGTTTAATAATGAGTTATTTCTATCTTTATTCCAGAGCCCTCATGGTCAAATTCAATACAATTTATCTTGGCATGTAACGTGATCCGGCACAGAGTACTTCTCCCTTGATCTCCATTTTCTGATAATTGAAAATGGCTGAGACTAATTATATTGTGGACACAGCATGCATGAAACAGGAAAAAAAAAAAAGAAGTAAAAAATAAACTGCTGGGTTTTACAAGTCACAGCTCAGTTATGCAGGGGAGATTTAGAAAAGTAATATGATAACATTCAGATTATCCAAGAAGTAACATTGGTATAGTCAAACATCAATAACACAAATTACAAAATTATTAAATGGGACACTTCACCCAAAAATGAAAAGTCTATCATCATTTACTCACCCTCACGTCATTACAAATCTGTATGACTTTCTTTCATCTGCTGAACACAAAAGAAGACATGAAGATGAGGAAAGGGTGACAGATTTTCATTTTTGGGTGAACTATCCCTTTAAGTGTGTGAAGGGACCAGTGTTTGTTCCTTTGTACTGTTTTGATGAGATGACCTACAGGAGTGCAGTAATGTAGTAATAACCAAATGTGCCTTCAAAACCTTGCGAACGCAGTTCATTTGCTTTTGTGAGCATCTGCTGATGTGCTTTTGGCAGACTTCATTTCGGGGTTTTTTTTTCTTTTCTTTTTTTAGAAAACCCAGTCAGATACACTCAGACTAAAGTCCTCATCTATACAGCTCAGACAATAAAAGTGTCCATTCTTTGACTAATCTGTGTTAGTGGTACTAGATCTCACTGCTCAGGCTGGGAAATCGTTTTAATAATGTGTTGGCTTCTTTAGGCAAAAGTCGACCCTGGGTTCCCTGCTTTCCTTTGGCCTTGTTCTGCGCCTGTAAGAAGTGAAATTAGGAAACAATGTTAAATAAAAATAACTATTGCATTTAAGATTCAAAGGCTTTAAGAGAAGTCATTCCAACCAGCTTTCAAGCTGTAGAGGAGACAATAACAGAAACTTGATCACACTAGATGCGTGAGGATGCCATAAACAGGAAACTGCATTGCAAAGTGGGAAGTGTGTTCGCCATAACCTGGCAGAGAAAATCTATCTGGTTGTACATCCTAATTACCCATTCCCATGTATTCATCAAAACCATGTTAATTAAAGGGATAGTTCACCCAAAAATGAAAATTCTGTCATTTAATTACCTTCATGTCGTTCCAAATCCATAAGACCTTCGTTCATCTTCAGAACACAAATATAGAACAAATATATTTTTGATGAAATCCGAGAGCTTTCTGACCCTGCATAGACAGCAACAGACCTATTTTGTTCAAGGCCCAGAAAGGTAGTAAGGACTTCAATAAAATAGTCCATAGTCAGTGGTTCAACCGTAATTTTATGAAGCTACGAGAATACTTTGTGCGCAAAGAAAACAAAAATCACGACTTTATTCAACAATTCTTCTCTTCCGCCTCAGTCTCCGCTGCCGTTCACGAGAGTACCATGACTAAAGTCGTTATTTTTGTTATTTTTTGCACACAAATGTATTCCCGTAGCTTCATAACATTACGGTTGAACCACTGATGTCACATGGGCATTTTATTGAAGTCCTTACTACCTTTCTGGGCCTTGAACGTGTCAGCTGCTTTGCTGTCTATGCAGGGTAAGAAAGCTCTTACTCTCACTTAATTTGTGTTCTGAAGATGAACGAACGAAGGCCTTACGGGTTTGGAACGACATGAGGGTGAGTAATTAAAGACAGAATTTTCATTTTTGGGTGAACTATCCCTTTAAGGATGTTAAACTACTGTCAGCTATCAGTAGGCTGTTTTACAGAGGATTTCCTGAGGACTGTGAGTTACCTTTTCAACACATGTGTAGAAGACTGAGACTTCTTTAGAACAGACTGTGTTGTTGAAGTCATTCTGTTTCCAGCAAGCCATCAGCAATGACATTTCCGTTACACAGGTGGCCTCTGTAACAAAGAGTGTGTGTATCACCATGTAAGAGTTCAGCAAAAATAATGCATTACAACAGCCCTTCGAAGTTGCCTTAAAAAGCAAACCAGCATCATTTGTATTTCCTGTCCCATTTAGAGAAGCAAAAATAATTTTTGTGCATGCTCATCATTTTACTTTAGCCAATCAGTTACTTTTCAAAATGGAGACTGAGTGACACTAAAGTACTTTTAATGAATGTATAAGTGCTAAAATGTATCTTTATGCTTAAAAAAATATTGTTTTAATTGAACTACAGCTGACTTTAGTTGATGTTAAAACTGTAGTTAGATATAAATCTGAGATTGTTTTCTAGCAAGCACAATATTTAACCAACCATATGAAGCCTTGCATATCATATTTGATATATGATTTTCTAAGGCTTCTAAATTAACATGATCAAAACTTTGCTGGAAAACCTGTTCTACACAATCTACTACATGCCTGATTTTAGCAAGGCCTTTTACTAATTCTAAAAATATCCAATTTCAGGTGGTGGTACACATCATTTTGCTGTAAAATCTTTAACAACTTATATAAACTACATGTAATTATAACTTTTATATTGTTATTAATATTTCAAGATGAACATTTACCGGACTGAAGGTGTATTTGTACATCGCTCCAGCATCATTGTATTGCATTGCATTATATATTATATACTGTATTTTCCCCCACAATTAAAACAACCGAGCTTTGATCATAATCCGTCTAATTGATTTTCATTATAAGTTTATTTTATTTAGGCCATATAAACAATAATATCTACAGCAGATATGTACTTGCTCAGTTTGGGCCTTTGTATAAAACAAGTGTTTTTCCCTTCGCGAATGTGTGCTATATAATCTCACTATAACATACTACTTCTTGGGCCATAAAAGTCTGATGTATCAAATATGACACAAACATTTTTTAAATGTTCTTTTATATTTTGCATAAAGGTTCAATAAACTGTTCCGTATTAATATTTTCAGGGTTTTAAAGGCTAAGCAGAGAACCTTTACACTCCATTTAGAAATATTATACGTAATATTTCACAAATATGCATAAAATTATCCCATACATTCAACACTTCGAAAAAGGATAAATAGGCAATGTAAGCGAATAAACAAAACTTAATGTAAATTCTGTAATGTTAACAGTTTCGATCTAAAGCAGGCCAGAAGAAGAAGCCAAGAAACTAACAGACACCGAACAATTTAAAACGTTTTGCTCGTGATTTATTGATCCGGAAAAGTCGAATCTGTGAATATCTTGCTAACTTTACCGAACTCGAGCAGACAGCAAAAACGGCGAGAAAGACCGTGGCAGCTGCCACGAACTCTGGCAGCTACCTGTGTCTCCTGGCAAGAACTCTCTGGCAGCTACATTTAGATTTACATTTAGTCATTTTGCAGACGCTTTTATCCAGGTGGCCTCTGTAACAAAGAGTGTGTGTATCACCATGTAAGAGTTCAGCAAAAATAATGCATTACAACAGCCCTTCGAAGTTGCCTTAAAAAGCAAACCAGCATCATTTGTATTTCCTGTCCCATTTAGAGAAGCAAAAATAATTTTTGTGCATGCTCATCATTTTACTTTAGCCAATCAGTTACTTTTCAAAATGGAGACTGAGTGACACTAAAGTACTTTTAATGAATGTATAAGTGCTAAAATGTATCTTTATGCTTAAAAAAATATTGTTTTAATTGAACTACAGCTGACTTTAGTTGATGTTAAAACTGTAGTTAGATATAAATCTGAGATTGTTTTCTAGCAAGCACAATATTTAACCAACCATATGAAGCCTTGCATATCATATTTGATATATGATTTTCTAAGGCTTCTAAATTAACATGATCAAAACTTTGCTGGAAAACCTGTTCTACACAATCTACTACATGCCTGATTTTAGCAAGGCCTTTTACTAATTCTAAAAATATCCAATTTCAGGTGGTGGTACACATCATTTTGCTGTAAAATCTTTAACAACTTATATAAACTACATGTAATTATAACTTTTATATTGTTATTAATATTTCAAGATGAACATTTACCGGACTGAAGGTGTATTTGTACATCGCTCCAGCATCATTGTATTGCATTGCATTATATATTATATACTGTATTTTCCCCCACAATTAAAACAACCGAGCTTTGATCATAATCCGTCTAATTGATTTTCATTATAAGTTTATTTTATTTAGGCCATATAAACAATAATATCTACAGCAGATATGTACTTGGTCAGTTTGGGCCTTTGTATAAAACAAGTGTTTTTCCCTTCGCGAATGTGTGCTATATAATCTCACTATAACATACTACTTCTTGGGCCATAAAAGTCTGATGTATCAAATATGACACAAACATTTTTTAAATGTTCTTTTATATTTTGCATAAAGGTTCAATAAACTGTTCCGTATTAATATTTTCAGGGTTTTAAAGGCTAAGCAGAGAACCTTTACACTCCATTTAGAAATATTATACGTAATATTTCACAAATATGCATAAAATTATCCCATACATTCAACACTTCGAAAAAGGATAAATAGGCAATGTAAGCGAATAAACAAAACTTAATGTAAATTCTGTAATGTTAACAGTTTCGATCTAAAGCAGGCCAGAAGAAGAAGCCAAGAAACTAACAGACACCGAACAATTTAAAACGTTTTGCTCGTGATTTATTGATCCGGAAAAGTCGAATCTGTGAATATCTTGCTAACTTTACCGAACTCGAGCAGACAGCAAAAACGGCGAGAAAGACCGTGGCAGCTGCCACGAACTCTGGCAGCTACCTGTGTCTCCTGGCAAGAACTCTCTGGCAGCTACATTTAGATTTACATTTAGTCATTTTGCAGACGCTTTTATCCAAACGACTTAATTGCAGAATACATAAAGCGATTCTTCTTAAAGCGGCAGACAGACACAGGAAGTGCTTGTAATACCAAGTTTTAGGCATTGTTCAAATACGTACAAGCTAGAAAGGGAAGGAATAAATAAAAAGGAAGACAGAGTTTTTTTTTAATTTAGGATACATGCAGCTGATACATAAAAATGTATAATAATAATAATAATATTAATACAATTGTGGGAACTTTGCATCATCATTTAAAAAAACCTCCACCGCACGCCACTGAGAACAGTGTTTTACCGAGCAAACAGTAAAAACGGCGAGAAAGACCGTGGCAGCTGTCAGAAACGACTAGTGGTAAGCTGCCACGAACTAGGGCTGGGAATCGATTCCAAAAAGAATCGATTCCTCGATTCAGAGGCGTTGGGAATCGAGAGTCGATTCTTTTTATATTTTTATTACCATTCGCCTCCCTCGTGCTCGCTAAAAGGGATTAGAAGTCACTAGAACCAGTTAAAAAAAACACGATTCAGAGGTTATTTTACGGTGGACCTGGCTTGTCCACAATTTTGAGCGCTGCACGACAGAATAGATCATCAAGGGTCTTGATCTTATTTTCATCTGAAATACTATTTTTTTTTTAAACATTTCTATCAGCCAATGATAATTATAAAAGAACACGTCCCGAGCATAGATCAGTGGCTGAGAGCGCATCTGATTGACAGATAAACCACGAGCTCTATCAGTTATTGTTAATGTTCTGGTTATTTTGTTTCAGTGTAGTTTGTTAATTTTGTGCAAAGCATACAGTCAAAGTAAACTTCATCATTCAGCTGAACTGTGCACATTTATTTTAGACACTTTATGTCATGTTCAACTCATGTGATAAACGCATGTCCCTGCTGAGCTGTGGGCAATGACTAATTTCACGGGCAAAGCAGACAAAATTACAATTTATGTATCGTCATTTTTTTTTGTTGTTGTTACAAATAAAGCTTCATATTATGAGAAGGATGCTTTCTACGACCTTTATCCTGCAGTCATGGTGAGATTATAGATTCCTTCAATCTAAAAAAAACAAGAATCGAAAACAACAGCGAGGAATCGATTCCAGAACCAGGAATCGGAATTGGACTCGATTCTAAAAATGTCGTAATCGAACAGCCCTACCACGAACAGAGAGAGCGCCAGCTCTTGTGCACATACATTCACATACATGTTCAATGGAGAAAAAAAGTCCTAACCTCCTTTCTTCAGTTTGCGGCTGGCGACTTCATTCTTAAGCGCCAGAGGTTTGATGGGTCTCAGTACGGGTTTTCCATTTTGCCTGCTCAACAGTTTAGCAACCTTCTCTTGAATCACAGATCCACTCATCGCCTTTCTATAATGTCTCCTCCCGAGCTGGTACAAACATTAAATCCAAAATAAGAAAGAAACGTAGCCTAATATTAGAACATAAGTAATAACTAAAATGTCATTGCCGAGTACTTCTTACTTCACGTCCTCATATGTAAGTCGCCATTTTCTGTCGGAAAGCGTTCTCTACCGGTTGTTATGGTTACCGCTGCCAACAGTGTCGTAAAAGTATCGTGAGTTGTGTTTGTTCTTCTTCTTTCTTTTACTGGCAACCGCACTTAACGGTGCATTACTCGCCATCATCAGGTAGCTTGGATCAGAAACATTTCCTCTATCTCTTAACATTTTCTAACACCCCCCAATAAAAAATAAAAAATAAATAAATAAATAAAAAACACACTGGCGCTGCGTGTTCAGCTCCTCCAGTTTCCACCCCAATTTCCTTTAAATCCCAGTATCCCACTGTATCCTTATTTAAACTTCAGATATACTTTCCCTTCTACCCACACTATTTTAGCGTCTTCATCCCATACTTCTACCTCTCTATATATACTTATCCTACATTCTCTTCATTAAACCTGTATTATTCAGAAACTGAAACAACACATTTATCGTACTATTTCCTATATCTGAGTCTAATATATTCTTTAATGTTAACTCTTTTCCTTCATTCTTCCATACTTCTCTTAGCACTTCTCTTTCTTCATCATAACCCTTACAATTAATAATCACGTGTTCTACAGTTTCACTCTGTCCACATTTCTCACACAATCCCGTTGGATGTTTAGATATTAAATGTAATGTTTTATTCAAACCTGTATGTCCCATTCTTAGTCTTGTAATTATACTTTCCTCCCTCCTATTTCTCCCACTTTTTCTACCTTTTCCCACTTTCTTTTGTATTGCATATAAATGTCTCCCTTTAGTCTCATTATCCCAATACTGTTGGTGAGTTGTGTTTCCTTTGCATGGTTCCTCATATAGCCTATACAACCACAGTTTGTTCAGTGATTATTGTACTTTAGTTATTATGAGCCATTTTATGAAAAACTCATTTTATTCATACACTAATCCAGGGGCAATTACACTGGGAATGTGGTAAAATCTAGTGCAAATCAGAGTTGTTTCTAAGGCTGGTTCACCTGGAATTTGAATTTCAACTCGTGAAATTAATCGAAAGCAAGTCTTCAAATTCTGAAATTTGCTGACACCTAGTACAAACATAAGGATTAACTCATTTACTTTTAACAAGAACTAGACATGTGCTTAATTGTAAACATCAGGACAGGATGCCTTTAGGTGATGCAGGTTTTCCAGTAAAAGTTTTACTCAGGACATGTTTACACACTTAAGACACAGCTGGGTCCTGTGAGGGTGCCAAACTAGCCAGACCAGACTTGATGTGCAGTGTTAAACAACTAAGATGAAAACTATTGTTTATCATATATAACAATTTTTATGTCCTTAAATTGCCAGTAAAAGACAATTACTTCAAATTATTATTTTTTTTCTGTACATTAAGAAAAACCAAAGCTTTCCTCTCCTGTTTTCTCCAGAAAACAGGTCATTCAGATTAGATATTAAGCTGATTAAGAAACATTGTTGCATGGATTTGACCGAATGTAACACCACAAATGCTGTTAATTGCTACTTACATAAAAAACTTGAAATTATGTAATGTTTTTCACTCTAAATGAATGGGGCTTATCAAATGGAAACTCACCTTATGTATGCAGCTCCAGTTATAAACGTGCAGAGACAAAGTTGTAATGACCATGTTGTTTTCTCTTCTACTTTGCAGAGAGATAGATTTTGATGGATTGGCTAACCATAAGTCATGCCGTAGTGGAGAGATAAGAATTTGCTTGCAGGGTTTCTGTCCAAATGTTAATAATGGAACTTTAAGTGAATATAAAGATAAGGCAATATTTGCTCACAGCGAATGATGCAACATAATAAGGTATGTTTGACTTGTTTGCATTATTTACACGATGAACTCCAACTTGTCCATGCATTCCATTAAATGGCAGCTTGTCCTCATATCTGCTCTGGTATTCTGACTGTGTCTCTGCTTGTTTGTAACAAGGCTACCTTGAGTTTTCAGCCAGATGGAACAACTATCAGGATCATAAACTGGCTGATTTGTTGCACATGCTTAGATTGGGAAGTGTTCCTGGAATGTTCAGAACTGTTTATAATTTGTAAAGTTATTCCATTTCAGGATTTCCTATTAGCAGAGTTCAACTCTGAGGCAAGTTACAAATCATGAGTTAAAGGCAAGTTAAAACACAACACGTGGACTGTGAAAATGAGATATCATTAAATATTTTTATAAAATAAATCAAATTGCAGTGCAGTGCATGTAAGTGTAGCTCCGAATTCAGTCGCAGTGTTGTTTGTCTGTATAGTTTTTTCACGTGCCAGCAGAATGTGTTGGCATGGACAATACCTAAGAAACAAAGACTGCCCCTCCCTGAACTTTGACCTTTCCTGCTCCTGTTTGCTTGACTGAACTAAATTAAGTTTTTTTTATTTTTGGTAAGACTGTTTTCTCTCAAGCTCTCAATTATAAATCATTCCTCAAAACAATTTATTTCAAGCTTCATTCAAGAAGCCTGACAAAACTACTTTTTTTCCCTCTTAGAACTATATGGCTATTGGACTGTGAACACATTGATAGTTTGGTTTGTGTCAGGACTTCAGTGCCATATGCTCTCTTAGAAAAATCCATTTTCTAATCTAATTGCTTCTAGAAAAAGTTGGTCTATAAATATAGACCTTAAGATTCTAGTATATTTTTGCACCATGAAATAAGTTTGGAAAGTCTAAACTATGAATACTTCAATGTACAGCTGGGGCCCATAAAACTAAAAGGATAATCTGTGACCACGTTAATCAGTGAAAGTTTCTACTTTCTCAACTAAGCATTTAATTTAACCATATTTCCCTTTATCATTTCCCCTTTTTAGTCAGCTGTGCTTGCTCAATGAATTGCATAAGCTGCACAAACATACCAGACCAACTCGAGGTCATGACATTCTCCTCCCTCATTGTTGCACTGAATATTTGTTCCCCTACCTTACTGCTCTGTAAGGCGACCCTGTAACCTGTAAGAATGCAGATAGATCTCCTTTGAGACTCTCTTTCATCACATGATCCAGCCAAATATCTGGACTACTACTAGTTAAAGCATATTAGCAAGATTGAATGACTCAAGTGATAATTGGTTAATCCAAGCCTATCATAGAGTCACAGTAGGTGACGATGCAACACATGTGGTCTTGGATTATATTCAGTGATAATATGAAAAAGAATAGCTAAGGTTACTGTGGGAATCAAGCTATTGAAATGTCTCAGATATAATTCAGTAATAATCTCTCACTCTAATTTTAGAATGAGTTTAATGGTTGTCAGCGGCTATGTAACGTGATATATAATATCATTAAACTCTGTATAACTTACAGTCAGGGGATAAGGAATTAACAAAGACTTTGAGGCTTAAGCTTTATTTGTCCATAGAGCAATGAAACAAAATTAAATAATCATTTTCAGCTTTATAGAATTTTGATTAAAAAAACAAAAGTGACCCACCAAAAATTGTGTAATAGTTTACTAATTAAGTCTGATCATGCTTTTATCTAGCTTTCTCTTATTTTAATTCCTATTTTAATTTCTCTTAGTTAATGTGACAGGTTCCACCATGCTGTTAATTCTTAATTTTATATTGTCAGATTTTATACACTTCTCCCCAATCTTTTTGGTCAAATGGAACTCATAGACATAGTCTTCTCGTTTAGTCTTTTATATTAAATGTTATGATAATAGGAGACGTATCCTGGGGAGAGAGTAGAAGCCCCCTGAGTGTATGATGATGATGAATTTTTGATGAGATGTCATGGTGTGGGCCTTTTTCTCAGATGGCACATTATGTCATGCCACAGACACAGAGGTTCTCTGTCCAGACCCCCATCTGCCAAACAAGGACATTCAGAAGCTCAGGGACAGTACATGCACACATACACTGTACAAACACTGAAAATTATGTGTACTGTAAATACACACAGAATGTGCAAAGTTTCTTGTGTTACCCCAATACGCTCCATAAAGAGGATTGTTTTGCATCTTTGAGGTCTTAATTCAGCTCTGCCTCTCCGGCAAATACATGCACTTATTGTCCCTATATGATTCATTAATTTAATTATTCCCTGCATTTAATTTCACACATGTACAGTAGACAGACATTGTGAGACAATATGAGGGTGAGAAGGTATTAAGGTTTTCTCCATGGGGAATAGACAGAAATGGCATAGGACAAAAGCGTGTGTGAGTGTGTGTGTGTGTGTGTGTGTGTGTGTGTGTGTGTGTGTGTAACCAGCAAGGAGAACAGAGGCAGTCTGGTCTCTCAGAGGACCGTCTGGAATTGTGAATTGATTAATGCAAGGCAGATCCATTAGCTAATGAAGTCTGTCTGGTCAACAGTGCATACTGTAGAGCAATTACTTCACCTCAGTCCCGCATCTTTTGACTTTGTTCCTTCACGTTATATTGCAAGGCTGTTGCAATAGTGATTCGTACTGTTTATTTGTTTTAATGAATTATTTAATGATTGCTGTTGGACATTCTCAAAATGTATGTAAGACTTTACGTGGACTGTCTGTAAGAAAAGAAAGCTATTTAAAGCAAAAGTGTCCATAAATATGACTAATATTGCCATCAAATATCATAGAAATAGCAACCCTATGTGATTGGGCTTGCAGTTGTTCCATGGTGGCTTCAATTGTGCTCCTCACATGATATTGATGATACACCATGATGATAGTCTGGTGGGTGAGTGTTGTCGTAATGAATCAGTTTGTGTAAATGTTGTTAGCGGATGAAATCCATTACTCCAGTCTTCAGAGTCACATGGTCCTTCCGAAATCATTCTAATATGCTAATTTGGTGCTAAAAAAACATGTATTATTATTATTATTATTATTATTATCAATGTTGAAAACAGTTGTGTTGCTAAATATTTTTGTGGAAATGGTGATACATTTTTGGTTACATTATTTGATAGGAATTTTCAAAAGAACAGTATTTATTTGAATTTTTTATTTATTTTTTTATTTATTTATTTGGTAAAATTATAAATGTCTTCACTGTCACTTTTAATCAATTTCATGCATCCTTGCTGAATAAAAGTATACATTTTTTAAAAATTCTAATG